TATATAAACCTCCAAAATAAAAAGCCTTAAATACTAAAAGAAAAGCCCTTATACCTAACAAAATTAAGTGAATACTTAAAATAATAGTCATTTTATTTCTATCTTTCCATACATAACCAAAGAATAGAAAAGATTCTTCAAGAGTCTCAAGTCCCTTAGAACTAAATCAAATCAATCTATTTTAGATCTAAATTAAATCTTATCTATTCTAGATCTAAAACAAATCTGTGTGTAACAAACTGTTTCCACACTTCTAAATCAAATCAAATCAAATCATGTCGACAATCCCTTGTCTCTGTCGAGCAAACTGCTTCGACACAAGGAATTATTTTCAACACATCACCTAATTCTTTGTGTCTAAGCTATCTACATTTATCATATCTCTTAGTCTTCTGAACACTTCGATCTGCACACTCTTCGTCATGATACCGATAATCTGATTCTCAGTTCTACAGTGTTCCAAGTTCATCTTCCCGTCTACTACCTGCTCTCGAAGATAATAGAACCTCATTTCGATGTGCTTGCTTCGACCATATGCTATCGGGTTTTTCTCCAAGTTGATAGTTGTTGTCGATCTTCATGGTAATTGCTCCATGGTCTTTATCTGTTATCTCTTCGACCAAGTTCACCATCCATGTTGTTTAGCATGCACAAAGAGAAGCAGCTATGTATTATGCTTTGCATGATGATAATGCTATTACTGATTCTTTTCTCGAACTCCAAGCAACTGGTGAACCACCTAACATAAACACATATCCTACTATGGATTTTCGATCCTCAACATCATTACACCAACTTGAATTGGTGTATCCCACTAATTTGCACTATTTTCCTTTATCAACTGCATGAAATAAAATGCCATAGTCGAGAGTTTCTTTCAGATACCTTAGTATATCTTCATCGCTGCTAGGTGTAATACCTTTGACTTCTGCATGAATCTACTTGTCATACCTACATTGTATGCTATGTCAGGCCTTGTGTGACAAAGGTATCTCAATGACCCAATAAGTATTCTGTATTAGATTGGGTCGACATCACCTTCATCTGAATCTTTCGACAATTGCAAACTTGGTTTTGCAGGTGTCGAAGTCGAGTTACATTCTTCCATCTCAAATCTCTTGAGAATTTCTCCTGCGTATCTTCTTTGATGTATCATCAAACCTTTACTACTATTGTAGAATTCAATTCCAAGGAAGTATAAAATGTCACCCATATCCGATATTTCGAATTCCTTGTTGAGATCACCTTTGAATTCTTCGATCTTCTCCTTGCAGCTACCTGTTATTAACAAATCATCGACATAGAGACATAATATAAGTAATTCACTATTGTTTCTTCTTACATATACTTCATATTCATTTGTGCACTACACAAATTTCTTCTCCCTTAGGAAACTATCAATCTTCTTATTCCAAGCTCTTGGAGCTTGTTTCAATCCATATAGGACTTCATGAAGCATGTACACCTTTCTCTCTTCGTCATGTTTCACAAACCCAGCTGGTTGTTTAACATAAACTTCTTCGTCTAAGGTTTCATTCAGGAATGCACACTTTACACCCATCTGACATATGTCCCAACTATTTATTTCCGCTAGACCAACGACCAACATGATTATTTTGATCCTAGTCACAGGTGCAAAAACTTCATCGAAGTCAATTCCTTTTTTCTGGAGAAATCCTTTCGCCATGAGTCTTGCTTTTTGTCGAGTTACTTCTCCTTTGGGATTCATCTTCACTTTGTATACCCACTTAACATCAATTGCCTTCTTGTCTTGAGGCAATTAGACAAGTGACCAAGTGTTGTTTTCTTCAATGGACTTCACTTCTTCATTCATTGCTTTCACCCACTTTGAATCCTTCAATACTTTAGTTGCATTGACTGGTTCAACATCTGCATAGAAAGCATAACGTATCAGCTCACCTTTGTTATCAACCACATCATCTGATGTAATCACACAATCTTGCAACCTTGCAGGCATGTATCTTGTTCTTTGAGGTCTTCTTGTGCTAGGTTGATCTCTAACTTCTTCCTCATGTCTAACTTCCTCTTGTCGAACTTCTCTTTTGACTTGAGTTTCCGGTTCTTCAAGTAGGATTCTCACTGAATCTTTCTTGACACTTTCAGTCTAATCCCATTCCTTAAGCTCATCTATGATCATGTCCCTGTTGATCACAATATGCTTGTTCACTGGGTCTAACAACTTGTAACCTCCTGTCAAATGATATCTAACTAGGATCATTTGACTCGACTTGTCATCAAGTTTTCTTCTCAACTGATATGGCACATGTCTATGTACAATAGATCCAAATACCTTCAGATGACTCAAGCTAGGCTTTGTACTAGACCAACATTCTTCTGGAGTAATTCCTTCTAGCTTCTCCGTAGGTCATCTGTTCAAAATATATGTTGCAGTCGACACAACTTCACCCCAAAATTCTTTAGGTAAATTCTTGCCTTTCAACATACTTCTTACCATATTCATGATGGTTTGATTCTTTCTTTATGGAATTCCATTCTGTTGTAGAGTGTAGGGTGGCACCACCTCATACACAATCCCTTCTTTTTCACATAACCTGTCGAAGTCTTTCGACACATACTCTCCACCACCATCAGTTCTCAAAACTTTAAGCTTTCTACAACTTTTCCTCTCGACCATAGATTTAAACTTGGTAAATACCTCGATCACTTCACTTTTCTTCTTGATCAGGTAAGACCACCATTTTCGACTGAAATCATCTATGAATGTGACAAAGTATTTATTAACTCCATATGAATCCACCATTAGTCCATATAAATCAGAGTATATGACTTTGAGAGTAACCTTCGACTTGCTTCCTACATCCTTGCTAAAGTTATTCGTGTGTTGCTTTGCCTGCACACATTCCTCACATACCTCATTTGGAATGTTGATTTTCTGGCAACCCTGAAACCATATTTCTTCTCTTCAAATCTCTGATGTCTCTGAAGTTGAGATGACCTAGTCAATAAAGCCATATCCATTCGTCTCTGCTAGCTGCAGTTGAAAGACATTTGTGCTCTATCACCTTAAGTTCAATCTTGAAAGTCCTATTCTGAGACATGAGGGCCTTCAAGATTAACCTTTCATTTGTGTCGGCGACTCTCATCATCTTGTCTTCAATCGAAACTTTATAATTCTTTTCGACCAACTGCCTTATGCTGAGCAAATTGCTCTTCATGCCTGGAACATACAACGCATTGAAAATTACCGACCTCTTGCCATCTTTCCTCATAATCATAACATCACCAATACCTTCAGCTGCTAGGATATTGTCATTCGCAAATTTTACCATGTTCTCCATTGAGGGATTTATGTTGACAAACCAATATTTTCTTCAAGACATGTGTGATGAGCATCCTGAATCCAAGTACCATTGGTCCTTGAATCTATCTTCATATTTTGTTGTGACCATCAACATCATCTCTTCTTCTTCATACTTTGCGAACTTTGCATCACTTTCTTAATTCTTTCGCTTTTCTGGACAATCACTAGAATAGTGACCATACTTATGACAATTATAACATTGAATGTGACTCTTGTCAGTTTTTCGACCACCACATCTTTCTCTATTTGCAACACCACCTCTTTGGCTGCCCTGGTATTGTTTTCTCTGATTCGACATGTTTTCTTTGTGCTAGTTTTATTATAGTGAGATGGAAAAGTTCATTTCAGAGTTTTAAAATCGGATCGAATCGGTCGGTCAAATCGGTGGAATCTGAATTTAGAGAGGTCACCAGTCAGGTCTGATGTTGAATCATATATGCTATTAAACCAGTGAAAACTATTTAGAACCGGCAAAAACAAGTAAAAATGAATCGATAATTTTGGAAAATTGGTGGTTAAATGCATGTCTTTTTTTTCTCTGACAAAATGACGTTGTTTTGATAATTTTTTAAAAAACTAAAATTAAAATATAATAGATTTTGTTCAAAACTTATTTGAAACAACTTTACCTCCTTTTGTAATTAAGTTTGTTCAAAATTTATTTAAAATTTGTATTTTATGCTATTTTATTGTGTCACTTTGTTTAGGATTTAAATTTAAAGAATGAATTTGTGAAATTATAATATTTTGAAATTTTGAAATTTTGTAGGGGTTGTGATATCTTTTAGAGACTGAGTTTTTTGATTCGACCCATTTAATAAATATATTGTGTTATTATAGAGACCGATTTATTTAACTGAGTTATTCAATTTAAACTGATTTAGTCATAGAGTTCGATCAGTAATCCAATAATTCGACCAATAAATCAGTAATACAATATGTTTCTAATTTAATGACCGATCTAACTTTTAAATCATTATTTCATTCTACTTCTTCTATTATTTATAAAAATCCAAATAATAAAATATAATTATTTATCACTCCACTTCATTCATATTACATATCATTGATCCAAACATATTTTAAAGTAAAATACAATGAGAGTAATAGTGCACAAATAACACTGTAACTAAAACCAAGTAAAATACAATTAGAGTAATAGTGCACAAATAACACTGTAACTAATACCAAGATTTTAAAAAGCAGTTGCGATTTCAATTTGTATAAGTATTGTGATATTGATTTTGATTGTCGCTGCCTAAATTAACTATATATATAATTTATTTTTTATCCTAAAATGATAAATAATGATATAGATATTGACATCTATCGATACCATTTTATTAGGACCGTTTTTGCAGCAACGGGTCGTTTTAAAACCTTTAACTAAAACAATAAATCTACTTAATCATGCAAGATGGTGCTTGTGCACCTGATCAATCATGATAAGACCAAAAAACATCATCATTAATGAAAATTTAAACAAAGTCAATAATTAATCATACTGAAGAAAATTACAATACAAAGATAATTAAACATTAACAATTAGAATCCTCCTGCATCTCTGGCTAGAAAATTAATGAAGATCAGATATATTAATCATTATCTTTGGTAATGAAATGATTAGAGATGATCATCATAATAAAATTCAATCATATCAACCCTGTGAATGATGATTGTAACTAGTAGGAACCATTTGCATGGAAAAAGAAGGATTAAAAGAGAAAGCAATACTAGTTGGATTATTACAATCCATAGCATTAACTTTGTTACCAAAACATTCAAGTGCCTTAATTTGTGACCTTAAAAACTTGAGATAATTTGCAGCCTCATCAAGCATTGAAGCAGTGTCCATTTTGTTTCCACCAGGTACTATCTTTTGCAAAGCCCTAATCCTATCGCTTATTTTTTCCCTTCTTTGCCTTGCAACCACAGTTTGTGGATCATTTGATATCTTAACATTCTTTCTCTTAGGCTTTTTTTCAATCACATCGATGTCATCGATTCCAAAATTCACTGGCCTAAATGCTGCTGCTCTATACATCATTTCTTTCATTTGCGCTATTGCTTCTCGGTCAGGCTCTTCGGTTGAAGATGAACAGCATATTGATGATGATGATGAATTTGGTTGTTGGAAATTTATGTTTGTTGAATAAGGTCCTTTGTCAGATCTTGGTTTCTTGCTTTTTGGTGGTTTATCAATGGTAAGGCTAAAACCACCTTCAAGAGATGAGGAATTAAGAATAGTACTTGATTTTATTGCTTTTCTTTCATTGATGTATTGATCCGATGAAGTTTGAGACGTTGTTTCGTCTAGTTCAATATTGAGTGGACACCGCATATCTTTGTTACCAACTCGTCTGATCAAAGATGTATCTGATGTTTGTATCTGTGTCAGTGTTTTATGCCCTTTACCATTTGAACCGATACTTCTAATAGAACGTGCCTTGTAACTTGTACCATTTAAACCGACACTTCTGATTGAAGGTTTGTTTAATACTCGTGTTTGTGTCAGTGCTTCACAATTTGAAACATTACTATCGGTTTCACCGGATGAGGATGTAGGACTGACATAATTGAAGCTCCATAAATTTCTGCAGTCAGAAAACAACTTTGAAATTCCACCATCATCATTTTCAACAGAAGTGTCAGTGTTGCTATTAGTATCTGAAAGCAAACAATCAAAAGAGTTGTTAAATTTGAGTTGTTGTTGTTGTTGGTGGGCCAAGTTGAAATCTGGCATGTTGTAAGGTCTATTGACTAAAAGGGATTGATCTGATTGATGCACTAAAGGCTCTTCCCAGCTGGATCCAGCTTTTGATTTCACTGTCATGGTTGTTGCATGCTGTAACAGATTTTTACTTGGCATAATCACTCTTTCAGAATTTGAATATGCACTATGATCAATTTCAACTTTATGCATCTCTTGTATTTGATGAGTAAGAGAGTTTGTTTTGTTGTAGCAGCATCCTTCAAAGTTTTGTTGCTGCTGAGAATTCCACAAGATTCGCACGCTCTCTTCCAATACATCCGAGCCATCCCAATTCAGATCATCCATAGATATATTGAAAATTTTCTGCTAGAAATAAAACTTGTGAGCATAAATTGATCTTGTTACCTATATAGCATGTTCTAGCACCCGACACATTAGATCAAAAGCATGTCCGGTGTTGGAAACATCTCAGTTTTCAACACCAACACGATACTGACACATATGATTACATTCAATTAATTTATATGAGTTATGTGTCTGATGTCTATAAAACTGTATCTGGTGTTAGTGTTTGTATCAGCGATTATTCATAGTTTATGACAACCAAATTAACTACAAAAAATTGATATGAATATCTTACCAGTATTCTACTATTTGATGCAGCTTTATAACAAGTTTCTTGCACAATAGTAGTGAAAACTGTGATGAAAGAAAACAAGGAAAGTTCAAAGTTTTTATAGCATTTGAATTGTGTATAATAAGTAAAGTATAGAACAAGTTGTTTGGTTTGAAAAGATAGAAGCATAGATGTAAGAAACAAACTATGTACCTTAATTGAGCTGCCATGGAAGACTAGTACAATCAGATGTCGTGTGTATTTGGTGTATAATTGGTAAGAAGAACAAAAGGTACTAGTTCATGCTTTTATAACAAAAACAAACATTGGTACTTGTGCAATTACATCATGAAGTTGTATATACTACGGAGGATATACTATAAATAAGGACTTGAAGATGAAAATGTATATATAATAATAAAAATATATAAATTGGAGAAGTTATTAAAATATTGTTTTGACAGTTTTAGAGCATTGAAAAAGGATGATGCTTTTTCATTAGTTTGGTGGTGGATCTGTAAAGCTATTTTTTGCAGTATGACACACTGAGAATATCAGAAGACAGTATATGTAATTTATTCTCAAATTTTTAAGTGAAGAAACGTGTGAACTCTTTTTGGTTGATCAGTGAAAACTGCTCTGTAATTGAAGCATCTTACAACAACTTTCTGTTGATTAATCATGATTTTAATCATAGCTTGTGATTTTTTCACTTTCTACCATAGTAGTTTGTGTGCATTAAGATATTAAGATTAAGGGTGACAAAGTCTGTCCGTTTAGATCCCTCTAATAAAAGTTTGTAAAATAATGGGGTAGAGCGGAATGGGCTTTGTTGAAGGTGTGAGGTTAAAATTTTACCCTGTTCTAAAAAAAAATTGTGTGGGACAGAGCTAGTCCATAGATATGGTATATTTTAAGTTTAAAAATCAAATTTTTATGTAAATGTACGCGTTTGTAAAAATCCGTAAAAATAAAGCAGAGCGGGACAAACATGTTAGAGAATACAGATCTAAAATTTTAGTTTGTCTCGCAAATAAATGCAGGTAATATGAACATGTTTGATAGACCGAATCTGTTTTATCACTCCTAATTGAGATACTTATAGTATTAGAGAAAAAAAAATTTTTTAATGAATTCATCTATTAATTAAAAATCAAGATTATACATAAATAATAGATAAATGGACAACAAACACCACCACTATCTTTTTCAGATGACAAAACCAATTATCTTAAAAATTATATTCATTATTTTAAGTGACATATCAAATGCAAATGATACAATTATATCATAGTATAAATAATAGTCTGTGTAAATTTTGAATATAATAGTAAGACTATATATTATGATGGTAACATCTGAAAATTTGTATTGTTTATTTAGATTTAGAAATTGTTATAACAGTATAAATACTTCACATGCACCCCATGCCATCATTATATGTTAGTGATGTTACATCTAGCCAAGTGACGTAAAATACTAACCACGGATACAAACATAAGATACAACATAAACTTTAACACTTTAATATTGATAATTAATTAAAAATAAAAAAATAATTAAAAATGGTTAGACCAACAATTAATAATAAAATATTAGATGGTAATTTAGTATTTGTCATTTGTAGGATATTCTCATTGGGTCCTGTTCTGGACTGGGCCCGACAGGCCCAAAAGCATTACTAAGGCCCAGTCCAATGGGACTCACTAAGGACCACAACGTCCATGCCCGACACCATGATGTCCACCTCGACATCTCAGTGTGCCAGCCCACGCGACGAAGTCACGCTCGACCGACTGCCGTCCAGCTCTATGCCCTGGCTTCCAGCTCGACATTCGCTGTCCAGCTCGGGGTCTTGGCGCCGAGCTCGACATCATGCTGCACTGCTCGACATGGACTCAAGCTACCTTGCTAGGGCAGACTCAGTCACCATTGCCCCAACGATACTCCGTAAAGACCGCGTCTCTGTCCGCCCGCACTTCACGCACCACATCCAGGGAGGGGACCACGTGCTGATCCCCACTACCCACGTAGGACCTGGCAGTTCCTCCATTGGGCCAAATCCGCCCGGCCCAGTGAAGGAACCTTGGCCCAGCGCTGGGGGCTATAAATACCCTCTGCTTCCAGAGGGTCAGGTAATGTTCAATTCTAACCTCAACTCTATTATCTGCTAGTACTCTCGCTGACTTAAGCATCGGAGTGCCTTGCAGGTACCCCCCCCTCCTCGTTCAAAAAGCCTTCAGCTCGGAGCAGCCGTGACGGTCCAAACCTCCTGATCAGGTCAGATCAGTGGCGCCGTCTGTGGGAAACAGCTTCCCCGTCTAACGAACAGTTTTCAAAGACCAAAGCTCAATCCATTCACTGTCATGGCCTCTCCAACTCGTGAAGAGCAACACACTCGCGTCCTCGACGTCAACAACGGTCCCGCGGACAAGAATGGGCACCTGGACAATCCCAGTGGTGCCGGCCACAATGCCGCCCCCCTGACGACCGCCCCTGGACCTTCCACCCGCAGGGACGGTAACACTGCGTCCTCCTCGACAACTCCCCCAGAACTCGAGGACGATCCGGAAGCTCTCGCCTATCGCCAGGCTGCCCGGTTCTATGAAGTCCAGGCCCCTGTCGGAGCAGATGCCACTGCTCAGGCACTGTTCGCTGCCATCAACCAGACGAACTATCTCCTGTTCGCACAAGGAGAAAGACTTAGGGCACTGGAAAATGATCGACGCCCCCCGAGGAGACATCAAAGGCCGCCATCTCCACTTCCTCGGGTCGAAGAAGCTCGACACCCTACTCCCCCGCGGAGACATTACAGGGAAATCTCTAGGAGCCCCTCTCCCGCACCAAGGCAGAGGCGCCCCCAATACGAAAGACAGCCCGTCATCCCTACCGAAGAGCCTGTCCGCGACGCCTCAAGGCACGAACGGAGGCACAACAGAGACGGACATGTGACCTTCACCCACCGAACGTCACGTTCAAGGGAGTCCCAGCACGAGCATCGTGCCCGACACAACTACAGGACCCTTTCTCTTTCTCCAGAAAGGAGCGACGAGGACGACCCCCGCGGTCCCCTGTCGCAGGCAATCATGGACGCACCTATCCCCCCGGGCATGGAGAAGCCCCCACACCTAAAGGAGTACGATGGGGTGGCAGACCCAGTCGACCATATTGACGGGTTTGAAGCCATGCTCCACTATCACAATGTCGGGGGGCCAATCAAGTGCCGTCTCTTTCCAACAACTCTCAGGAAGGCGGCCATGGACTGGTACAAAGGACTTGCCCCGGGCTCCATCACCTCGTGGCGGAACTTGAAAAACCAGTTCATCAGTTCCTTTACAGCCTCTCGTCGCCACCCAAAGACAGAGGCAGCCCTCGAGGCCATCATCCAGAGACATGATGAGACCTTGAGGGAATTCATCAACCGCTTCAACCGGGAAGCAATCCAGGTCCCCTGCGCGGACCACATGAAGAGGTATTTGCTGGAGAGGGGCCTCCTCCCCGGCACCGAATTCAGAAAAGCTGTAGGCATCGAGCCACCTGCAACTTTTGATGCTCTCCTCGACAAAGCTCGAGCATATATGGATTACGAGGAGAGAGAAGCTGCCAACAGGGCACGGGACTCCAGAGCCCGCAACCATGGAAGCAGCTCAAGACAAGACCCTCCTCCCCGACGCACCGGAGAGAAGAGGAAGGAAGACAGACCCCGGGAGGTCCGGGAACAAAGGGGCCCCTCGGGCAGGTTTACTGAGTACACTCCGCTCACGGCTTCCCGCGAGCGTATTCTGGCGGAGTGTGCAAGCACAGATTTCAAGGACGGTGGCGTCAAGCGTCCCCGACCAGCTCCTGCCAAGCCAGGAGTAGATAAAAACAAGTACTGTCAGTACCATAGGAGTCATGGTCACTTGACAGAGGACTGCGTCCACCTGAAGGATGCTATTGAAACCCTCATCAAAGGAGGGAGACTTGCGCAGTACAGGAAAAACGACGCTCCCCGTCGTGAAGCCCGTGAGGCAAAAGAGCCTGAAGAAGATGCCCGACCATCTGACGAGTCGGTGCCAATCCAGACCGCCTACGCAATAACCAGGCCCGAGGATTTCGAACTTCCCGAGCTCCTGCAGGAGCCCCTGACTACTCACAGCAGGTGGGAATACTTCCCCTCCGCCATGGTCATCAACGGGGGCGGGTTCAGCGACCTCACCATCAACTCAGCCAAGAGAAAGTTGGACGAACTGGTCGACAAAGCTCCTCCTCAAACTGTGACTTTTGAAATGGTGAGGGGCAGGTCAGAACCCATCACATTCTACTTGGAAGAGCTCCCCGGCGGAGCACCAAACGCAGTCATCCCCTTGCTGATAAGGGCGAAGATGGCTAATTTTGATGTGCATCGCATCCTGGTCGACGAGGGGAGTTCCGTCGACGTGATGTACACCCAGCTGTTCCGGACCTTACAACTGGACGAATCCCATCTGTCTCCATACATAGGTTCGGACCTTCAAGGCTTCAACGGCTCGACGTCCAAACCTTGGGGATATGTCGAGCTCCTCGTGACATTCGGGGAAGATACTGCTACAAGACAGGTGAAGGTCCGCTTCCTCGTCATTGACTGCCCATCCCTGTACCATTGCATCCTGGGGAGGCCGACACTGGCGGAACTGACAGCGGTCCCTTCAACTGTCCACCTAAAGATGAAGTTCTATACCAAAAGGGGGAGGGTAGCCACCATCCAGGG